AAATCCAGAATTTTATACAATGCCTAGATATTGTATACTATAATGCCTAAAACTAGCCGGCAATATATGAAACGATTCATATTTCACACATTTCCTAGGCATTCTGTAAAATGCCAAAAGACAAACCAGTAAAGTAGGAAATACATTTCCGATTCGTTTCGAAGAACCAAACTACTTACCATAAGTTAATAAATGATATAAAAATGCCAAAATGATTACGAAGAAGGAACCACGGGACTACTGGCTACTGAATCGCTAGAATGTGATGTTTGTGGCAAACAAAATTACATTCATTTATTAGAAAGCATCAATACTATATAGCATCACGTCACGAACGTTGAGTTATTTCCCGTACTTGTTGAAAACTCATTTGAGTGCTGGACAATGCTGAAAGAACTTTCAATCAAATACAGAAGCGTTACACTTAATGATATTGAACTGACCACCTTTGTGAGCCCTGCAAGAAGAAACAAAAAGATATTAAAAAGGGCCTTGTTGTGAAACTTATGATTATTTCTGAATTTAATTTTCATTGTAAGGTAGATCTTACTGATTCCCAAGATTTATAGAAGGAAAAAGTACTACTTTGGCTATTTGTGATTTATTGGATAAAATAAAAGAAAACAGAAGATTGAAATTGCATACTGCACTTGTTACATTGGATGTTAAGAGTGCATTTAATAGTGTTTGGTGGCCTTTTGTTTTGATCCAGTTAAAGAAGTTTAAATGTCCTTTTAATCTTTTTAAGTTATTTGAAAATTTTCTTTGTGATCGTTCTGTTTCTTTTCAAGATGGTAATTTATGCTCTAAAAGAAATTATGGTAGAGGTTGTCCTCAAGGTTCTAATTCAGGACCTCTTTTGTGGAATATTTTATGTGATTCAATGCTTGTTTTACCGTTTTAAAGACAATGTAAAGGTGCAAGCTTATGCGGATGATATAATTATTATTGTTTCTGCAAGTGGAAGGCATACTATTGATGCTGATATTGATCATACATTGGATCTGATTAGTAATTGGTCAAAACAAGTTAAATTGAAATTCGATTATAAAAAATGTGCTATTATGGGAATAGCCAAAAGAGGAAAAATGATTACTCTCCCGAGAGGACATATTGATGGGTATTCTTTAAAGAGTGTTCGAGAATTAAATTATCTCGGCATTTTAATAGATGATCAACTAACTTTCATTCCTCATTTGAAAAAGATTAAGTTACAGTGTTCTATTATTTTGAATAAATTATATGCAATAAAAGGTCTTAATAGTGACATAAAGAAAATTTATTATAAGAGAGGGATTGAAAGGAAAATTTTATATTCGTGCGCTGCATGGTATAAAAATAATGTTAGAGTTAACAATATGTTAACTCAAATTCAAAGACTTGCCTTGTTAAGTATAACTAAGTGTTTTAGGACAGTTTCTAATGCTAGTCTGTTTATTTTAAGCGGATGTGAGCCAATCTATTTGATTGCTCAAAGAGATTGTATTTTATTTCATTTAAAATATGGCAGAAGTTCTGATCAAAGTTTTGATTTACAAGTGGATTTTTCAAATATTGAGATTTGTAAAATAGTTAATGATGTTCATCCTGCCTTACTTACTGATTATTATTGGGACAAGAAGTTTCCTACTCGTGAAGGACACGAAATTTTTACTGACGGTTCAAAGATAGGTGAAAAAGTTGGCTGCTCTTTTGCAGCGTATTCAAAGGGAGAAATTGGATGTATTAAAAAGTGTAGATTAAGTGATAATTCTACTGTGTTTCAGGCAGAAGTCTTTGCCATTTTTAAATCTCTGGAATGGATATTGGGGAAAGATATTAAAAATGATGTTAATTTATATTCGGATAGTCAAAGTGCATTACTTGCCATAGTTTCTGGCAAATCTTCTACTAAATTGGTTTACGATACCCCTGTTCTTTTGATTGAAAATTTAAAGGAAAGAAAAATTAATCTTCATTTGGGTTAAAGGTCATATTGGGCATGAAGGAAATGAATTTGCTGATATTTGTGCTAAACAGGCTACGTTGCTGAAGAATTCAACTGATATTTTTCTTCCTAATTCTTTAGAAACTTTTAAAAATGTTTTAAAGAACAATATAATTAATTTATGGGAGGAGTTCTGGGATAAAGACTTAAAAGGCAGATATACTTATAAATTCTTTAAAAATGTTAATAAAAAGAGGTGCATTGGTAACGGGTTTTTGGCCCAATTTTTAACAAACCATGCACATGTACCAAAGTATTATAGTAGATTTCATATTAAATATTTGAAATGTTTATGTGGTGAACAAGAAGCTGATGTAGAACATGTAATTTTATGTGAATTATTGAGAAATAAGTGGTTAAAATTCTTACCATGTTTGAATAGAGAAAAAGATATTGTAAAAATATTTCAAATTGAAAAATTTAAAAAAGGAATAATAGAAATTATGAAATTTATTACTGAATTTGAAAATGTCATATTTGAGCAGTCACTGTAATATATAATTGTTAAAATAGAAGAAATAATATGTGAACAAATAATCTTTTGTAAATTATTTTATGTTACCTTGTAAATATTAATTTAAGTAAATTCAAGATGAATTGTTTTGTTTGTAATTTCTTTGTATTTGTTTGATTTAGTAAAGAGAAAGATTGTAAATGAAATAATTTATTTTGTTTTGTAAAATGTGTTTGTTTAAATAAAGGTATTTGCTGGTGAGGTCAGCAGATCTTCCCTTAGAGTACGAGTACGGTATGGTGGTTTTATAAAGTTTGAAAGGTTCCAATAAGCCCTGCTTTTGCCGCAAGGTAGCAGGTTTAAATATCGGTCTTACTGGTTCCCAAGATTAAGTGATAATTCAACAGTGTTTCAGGCAGAAGTCTTTGCCATTCTTAAATCTCTGGAATGGATACTGGGGAAAGATACAAAAGAAGATGTTGATTTATTTTCGGATAGTCAAAGTGCATTACTTGCCATTGTTTCTGGAAAATCTTTTACTAAATTAGTTTATGATGCTCATGTACTTTTGATTGAAAATTTGAAGAAAAGAAATCATTGGATTAAAGGTTATATTGGATACGAAGGAAATGAATTAGCTGACACTTGTGCTAAACAAGCTACGTTGAAGAGTTCGATTGATGTTTTTCTTTCTACCTCTATTGAAACTTTTAAAAATGCATTAAAGAACAGAATAATTGATATATGGCAGGACTTCTGGAACAAAGATTCAAAAGGAAGGTACACTTATAGATTCTTTAGAAAAGTTAATAAAAAGAGGTGTATTGGTAATGGGTTTTTGGCCCAATTTCTAACAAATCATGCACATGTACCATTATATTATAGTAGATTTCATATTAAATATTTGAAGTGTCTATGTGGTGAACAAGAAGCTGATGTTGAGCATGTAATATTTATGTGATTTGTTAAAAAATAAGTGGTTAAAGTTCTTACCATGTTTGAATACAGAAAATGATATTGTAAACATTTTTAAAATTTAAAAATTTAAAAAAGGAATAATAGAAATTATGAAAATTATTACTGAGTCTGAAAATGTTATATTTGAACAGTCACTGTAATTTATTATTTATATTGTTAAGTTAAAAAAGTTGTAAGAGTACAAGTAATCTACTGTAAATTACTTTATTATGTGTATTTTATAAATATTAATTTAAGCAAATTCAAATTGGATTGTATTGTATGAATTCTTTTTATTGTATTATTTGTAATCAAAATAGATTGTAATTGATGTAATTTTGTTTAGTTTTGTAAAATTTTATGTTTAAATAAAGGTATTTGCTGGTCAGGCCAGCAAATCTTCCCTTAGAGTATGAGTACGGTATGGTGGTTTCATAAAATTTTGAATAGTTCTAATAATCCCTGCTTTGCCGCAAGGTAGCAGGTTTAAAATATCAGTCTTACTGATTTCCAGTCTCAGCCAGATAGAAAATACAAATTTATTATCTTGTATCAAGATCATCTCACTATTCTCTTTTTTTACATATTCTGAATAACAGTTTTCCTATGGTACTAATTCATTAATTTTTTTAAATAACATTTACATTTCTGAGGAATGAACGTCTTTTAAATAACAGCCTTATAGAAACCTTTTATCCATAGTCTGCCTAAAGAGCATTCGTTTGTCACTCTATAGAATGCCTAGGTATTATATGCAACGCCCAGGGGAAGTATGTAATAATTCTCATATATCATATTTTGCCTAAAATCGTCCGGCATTATATACAATGCCTAGGCAATCTATAGAATCCTGGCATTTTATATTTTGTCGATAACATATTCACGAAAGCAACCTGATAATTTTCAGTGTGTTTATAAGCACCGTTTAAATGAACATATAATATTCGAATTAGGCCTTCAGTGCTCTTATAATTAACCGGTTGCTTTCTGGTGAATAAATAACTTGTATATTTTTAAGTTAATTGTAAGGGGTGAATGTTATGTATTACTAACGTAAAATTGTAAACACACATTCGTTGAGAAGTTACATTAGTAGGAAAAAGAGAATATAGTATTAACATTTTGAATCAGCTGGACAGTATTAAAAATCTTTCTTTCTTTTAAACAAAATAAATTCGAGTATATTATGTTTTTAAATAACATGTATGAGACTTTAGAATTCACTAGAATATGACATATTACACAATATTTATAGTCTATGTAATACTACAGCTTTAGCATTTATAACATTATTCGAGCAATTTCTCTTTACGTAGAAAAATGACTAAGTAATAGTAAATAATCTAAAATTGTAAAACTTTGTCATCTTGTTAGATATTAGTTAATATTAACAGCTTTATAAATGTATACATATTTAAAAATCGTAAAACTGTATGAATAAAATAAGTCGAATATTTGATGATAAATTTCTAATTGTTTAATACATCTGCTAATAAAAATATAATAATTTATTTGTCAAACAAAACTGTTATATTTCTGTAACATAAAATTTAGTAAACACTGCTAATAGCATAATATCTGTTCCACTTGCTACTTGTTGGCGAAGGAGCGCAATACATACTAGATGATATTTTGATATAAAAAACTCATTAAACACTAAATTATATAAATATAATAATACTCCTTGATAAAAATCTGAAGATCGAATAAAAGTAACTAGTATTTACATCTTTAAAAATTAAATTACTAATTTTAAAGTCTGGAATTTGCTGTCGGGATATTCTTGGTAATGCCTGACTATCCTGTATCTCGAAATGGTTATGTTACAATATTTAACATCAAGTGTAAAGTAATTTCTTGCGCGTTGCATTTTGTTTGTTGGAAATCGGAGCGAGTGACCAAGACATAAAATGAAAATCCGCTGCAATTTCTCGCTTTTGTTTGCCGCTAAAGTAAACTAAAAATCCATTTCAAACTGACATATTTTGCAAATAGAAAGCCGCGTAAAAGGAAGCTCCTGCGAGATTTCTATGTTTATTCAAACCCAAGTTCTTAACCGTGTTCAAAAGTCTATTAATTTTGTTACGATACGAGAAGTTTCTTTGAGCTAACAAACCGATCTTGAGCACAAGTAGAAAACCGCGTTATATTTACGTAGTTTTTGAATTAAAGTTAAATTTTGTTCAGCTTTGCAAACAATATTAGAAAAGCCGCCTTCTGGAATTCTACAGTCGAAGATCCTCCTCTCCACCCACACATCTTCGGATGGAAGATACATATAGGCGACTTTAAACCACTGGGCATTACAACAGCTAGTCCTTTCTTCAGGAACCCACTATCGGAGATTCTTCTCACGAACTGTCCGAGAAGTCAAAGAAGGTAAGGATAAAACAGTTGCATTGTATACGAATAAGGGGTACCTGCTTAATGGAATAAACGAGGCAAGAACACAAATCATGCTTACTGATAAAAATATAACAGTTTTTTTTAAAATTTTTTTATTTCATTTTCGAACTGCATTAAAATGTTGCTTTGTGCTAGGAAACGATTCGCCAGCTATGACTTTCCCCATCAAAAGGTTTTCTTGAAGCTCGGGAAAAAATGATTTTGTAGTGAAACTACTTCAACTACTTCTTCCGTTTTGCAATCCATTGCAAAGTATTCTCTTAAAACTTGTGGGACAGTTTTTATAACATCTTTAGAATCCTTTATATTTTACCATTTCGGTTTATATGTCTTGCTCGTTTGTGTAATTATTACGCTTTAGAGAATGGATTGTAAATCATCGTACGATGTTCACGTAACGGACGAATCTGTTCTTGGTTACGAAATTTTGCAAGAGAACTCGTTTTCTGTTTTTCCAGAAAAATTGTATTCTGAAAGTGTGTCTTTTCAAAATTACGTTTAATGTTTTTGGAAATTAGTATTCTAAGAGTTATATCAGTAATGTAATATTATCATTCTTGTTATTTAGATCAAATTTCGTTTGAATTTTAAATCGGCAAGTGCATATCGATGCATTTAGTAAGGAAACGTTCACCCGTAATTAAATGTACTAATTAATATTTTTATCATGTTCTATAAAATATTAAAATCTATTTTCTTTATCTGCATATTTGGACTTTACTGTTAAGCATGATATTGCATCTATTGAATCAATTATCTTGGCATTTCTTTCTATCTTGCATTCACAAAATTGTGGATTAAATAAATTACTTTTCTTTTAATATTAGTATACTTCGACCGCCTAATCTGTGACCATGAGCACAAACACGCATGCGCCGCCATTCGGACCGAATTATTCTCAAAATAGGGAGGAAGGACGGGGACTTTTCTTTCCCATGAGCATATAAATTCTCTCTTTCTGGAGAAGAATAGACTTTTACATGACTTTTTCATGTCGCAACAAGTTTATATAATAACGCCCCTTTTGGACTAGTCTATGTGTTTTGGCAGAATGCCAGTTAAGGTTGCATTTGAGATGCTTGGACTATACCAAAGTTTTTGAATAGAAGTTCTAACGTCGTAAAGTTCTAAAGTTTTATTTTCGACGTCTATGACTTGCGAAGAAAGAATTCCTGAGAAATAAAATAAAAGTAAATAAGAATAATAAAGGTCGCTTTAGGTAACAGTTCGTTTTAAATATTTTCTTCATCTTGATTTTTAATAACAAATTAAGCAAATTACAAAAACGTTGAAAACATTGCATTATTAAGCATTACTTAAATGTCTTCATAGTTCAGATGAACTTTGGAAAATAAAATACTTGGATTTTGACTGCAAGTAAATTCGGCGTCACAATATTTTCCGTTTTATTTTGTATTACAATTAGAATGATTAAAATTAACATCATAAAAAATTTTTAAAATGTAAAAGAAGTGAAAGAAAAGTAAATCATATTGGACTGCTTTTGCTATATAAGAACTTGAATTTGTAAGTTAGACGAGACAACTAAAGAAAAATGTCTATTGCAATCTTTTCACAGTTTTTATAAATTTAGAGAAATATGAGCATTTTTTTTTCATTGGGCAACTCTCCTTTGATTACATAACTTTTACAAATTAACATTTATTTTTCAGAACTCTAAATAGCAGCTGGATATTTTTGATAACATTTATTTATAAATTTATAAAACTCTTTCTAAGATAATTTAAAACAATAAAATATGAGATTGCTTCCCAGAAAAAAGAAAGCTCTTAAAGTTATAAATAATAAATTTATCTTGATAAATTTATTTTATTTATTTATGAGGTATTTTTCAGTTTTTGAATTTGCTTGTTAAGCAGTATGTGGGATTATGAAATTATTATCAATGATGGTTTAATTTTTCCGGATTTAGATGAATTTTATTCAATGAAAAAGTCATTTTTTGTAAGGTAAGTAAAACATGCAGTGCTAGTCTAAAGATCTCACAATACGTTCTTATTTGGATATGGTCGACTAGCGGCCGATTGTCAAACTGGGAAACACTGGTAGTTTGATCGGGATTTATATCGCGGCGGCTATATGGGGATATTCGTGATTTTTCCCATTTGTGACGGAAATGCGAGGCAGTTTTCTTTAGAATGTTTTCCATGAAGGTATTCCTCGTCTTAGGCAAGTAGCTTTTGAGTGCTTTGCTATATTCAAAATAATCGTTTAGCTGTGACCAAAAGAAAAGGGCCTTTCCCCAACAACAAAAAAAAAAAAAAAAAAAAAAAAAAAAAAAAACTTGTTCTCAGTTAAAAAAGAAGATACTATCAGCATTGCAAGTCTTACCTATAATCCAGCACTTCTTCTTGCTAATTTTTATCCTCCTCTATGTAATTGTCGTTGAAAACCATTCGTAAATGTACTCCAGTAAGATATATCTTGAGAACAGACATTTTGTCTCTTATATAGAGGTTTTTTGCTTCGGAGATTTACCTTCTAGAAATGGTCAGTTGACAATAAAATTTTATTATGTACACCTGTACTTTGTACACGTACACATGCGTGATATTTGTCTATAAAATAGTGTATTTCTTATATAAAATTAATATAATGGCAAATGTGTTTGGTGTTTTTGAATTACATCACAGGCACTAACAGTGGCAAAACATTTCGCAGTCGCTCTGTGCTTCTGAAACTTTCTTTGAAGTTTGTTTATAGCACACGTTCTACCTACCTCTGTTTCAGGATTTATTAAGCAATTTTCTAGTTTTCCCTCTTTTGCAACTTCAGATTTAAAAGCTCGTATATTTTTTATAATTTTCACATTTTGTTCAACAGTTGCAACGTAATCCTCTGTTAAAGCATTACTGCAGATGTACTTGTTGAACTAATCAATGCGTTATTTTTAACGTTATTTTTGAAGTCAGGTACATAATACACGTTCTAAATTAGTTCTCTAATTTTGAAGGAAGTCTTGAGCATAATGCTGAGAAACTCTCTGAAATTCAGCGTAACTGAATCACTGAACTTTCTTTGGAAATAAATATGTCTTAAAAGAGTTTTCTTTAGTCAGGTTTGCACTTCAGATGGCACCCTACGGGTTGAAGACCTGATATTGTATTAGTAGGAAAAAAAACATTTTCAATAAGTTTCATTTTTGAATCGTGAGGTTGAGATATTACATTATCCATGATAGTAGTAGTTTTCTATTTTGTGTCCTCATTTGTTTATCTAATGAAATTAACCAATCAGATGACATGCTTAGCATCATGCTGAATCAATAATTCTGTGAATTCTTAAAACATTTTCTTTCTTTCTTTATGTTCTAAGTTCTAGTAGCTTCACGATATCTATTTCCATACCGCGGATAAAGAAATTGGTGAGGTTTTTGCCATCTCAACACATTTCTTTTTTCAAGCAAAGGGTTTTACATGGTAACATTTTGAATATTTCTACTGCACTATACTACGTATAATACTATTTCAACTGCTTATAGATGTCTTTAGTATCACAATCATTGCAGCTTCCCAGCCACTAAGTTCTTTTTAAACTGTGCTAGTTTTACATGGATTCAAATCCCGACAAATGAGATTGCTCTCCATGGGCGTTTGCAAAGGTTCTTCTTTCCGTAAGGCGAATGCTAGCTAAATGCTTTCCACGAATGCACCCTCCCCACGCAGATACTCTTAGCGTTGTTTGCTACATAAACTAATCCAATCCAAATAATAACCATTAGACATTTCATTCAATTTTTCGAATCATTTTTGAAATTTCTGTACGATTCTTTGAGTCAAATTCACTACAAGCAGGCCTGGTAATGTGCATGCTTTGTCTTAATGTAAATTATTGCAACCAGTCTTACGATACTTTATTGTTCTCAACACTTGAAGCTTCCAGCTACTTATCTGATTTGAGAAGTGCTTTCTTGAAGAGATTTTCCTTTCGTTCTCTTCTTTTTTTATAAGTTTTCGTTTGTGTTAATCATTCGTAATTTCTTCAAGCCTGTCTTACAAATAACTTAGTTAGTTCTTGTTAACTCCAAATATTTCACTTAGTTTTCATTAACTAAAATTTCCAAATTATGTTGTTTTAATCATTTATATTTTTCGTACGTATAAATGCTGAATAATTTTTATTGCTGTATCAAAACAAAGAATACAGTTTCCGTTAACAGAATCAGTCACACAAGTGATAATATTACCCGAAATTCAATGAAAAAGTTTCAATTTTGAATACTCGAAATTCCTTTTTACATATTTTTTATGTTTGAGATTTATGTACTTTAGTAAATTTCACATTTATATATTGAGGCATGTACAGCGTTAACTGATATTTTAACATTGTAAAAGAAAACGCCAACACATTTATTGCACTAAAATAAACAGAATCGTGTAAAAATAAACCCAACTTAAAATTTTAATTCTTTTTTTATGATCTGCTTTCCTAGGATATCTGAATTCCTGTTCCCCTTATAATGTTCACTGTATCATTCATACTGTACTTACTTTTCTGCTAAATATGCAGTACTGTTAACCAGAGAACAGGGGCTCCATTACCTAGCTGACACGATGTCTGCCTTACACGGATTAAAGCCTCTGCCTCCAGAAGCTATTTATTATCACTAAGCAAAATAAGTTTACAGTGGCATACAAGGCCTCAAGAACACAAGGACATAAGTAACATAGTCATTAATAAACCCTAAAGAAAGCATGTTACAAGTAGTACCTATAGCATTCAAACAATAAACCGAGTATACTTTCATAATTTGTACTGAAAATACGAAATACTTTCAAAACTGAGTCCAACTAATTTAAATAAAAACTATGGTACAAACAAAATATAATACATCCATTACTGTATTATACACAATTAATTTCAATTAGATTCACAATATCAAGAAGAACCATTCAATTTAGAAAAAATGCATAAAGATAAACTAAGACAATAATAAACTGCCAAATAAAATT